ACATCTGCATGCATGCTGTAAAGCCAGAGTATCTCATAGCTTCTTGGTCAAGAATCTGGAAGCCTCAGGATGGGAAGAACCAAAGATGTAGCTAGGTTCTAAGGTGGAGAGTTGTTGGTGTGCTTCCCTGTTGAAAGGTTGAAGATGCTAATGCCTGTTATCAAAGGCAGTAACAACAGCAAACCCATCCCTGTTTAAGCAGAATTCAGCTCTGAAGTGTGTTCTGACTTCTTTTCATTCTTCCAGACTACAAGCCTATTGAATGTAGCCACTTACATTCTTCTCCATTTGCTCACCTATATGCCAAATGCCTCTGGAAGTTTACTCTCAGCCACACACAGATGTGTACTTTGCTAATTCAGGTGTCTCTCTCTCCAGAGAAGTTGATGTTAATATTAAATATCACAATTCATATCCACAAAACACATCAAGCCAAGATCACTCAACATAGAAGAAAGAGATCCACTACATAGTCATAAAGGAAACAATCCAGCAAGATGTTATGCAGATTGTAAATATCACTATAATGAACATCGGTTTAATTTATTGAATAAGTAGGACAGGACTTAAAGGAAGAGGTAGGACTCAAAGTAATGAGAGTGCCTTTCTTTAATCTCTCACTGTCCCTAATAAATACATCCTGCAAACCAAAACTCAATAAAGAAGCTTCAGGATTAATTTGTGGTACAGATAAATTGGACTTAACAGACTTCTAAAGAATGTTCCACACACCTGATAAAGGATACACTTTCTTTTCACCAGCACATAGAACTTTTTCCAAAATATGACATATTTCTTAGACCAGAAATCAAGACTTACAAATATAAAAAAATTAAAGAATGTGCCTCATCTTATGTATTCATTTCATAATGGAATGAACATACCAATCAACACCAAAACAGACTATAGAAATTGAACTCATGAACATTGTTGTGTATGTTATCAACTGATCAGAGAGTCATCGAACAGTTAAAAGGGTAATTATAAAATTTCTTACAATCAAATGAAAATAGAAACACAATATACAATAAAAAAACAGCAATATCAAATAATTAGCCTATTGACACACCTCAAGATCTTAAAAATCCAACACAAATCAAATGCCAAAGGAGTAAAAGGAAATAAATAATAAGGATGAGAGGAGAAATAATTTAAAGAGGGACAAACAGATCAACCCAAAGAATCCATTAAACAATGCATGGTTGTTTGAAAAGAAACATTAAGTTCCCAAACTGTTAGTCAGAATATCAAGAAGAAATAGGGAGACAAGACCCAAATATATTTGGATATGATAAAGACTAAAATAGGTTCCATGGAAATCTATAGGATTATTAGGAAATATAATGAATGTTATATGCCCCAAAATTGAGAAACCTAGAGCAAATGTAAAATATCTAGGCACATATGACCTACCAAAAGGATCTAGTTAATAACCTAACTAGATCAGTTTCAAGGAAAGAAATTGAAGCAGTGATAAAAAATCTCACAATAAAGCGAACACAAGGTTGTACTAATTGACTGCTGAGTTTTGCCAAGGTTCTAAAGAACACCTCAAACTGTTCTATAAAATTGAAAGAAAAAGAATACTTCCAAACTCATTTGGCACCACCATTATTAACCTGCTATCACAAGCTGATAAAGATACAGTAACAACAAAGAAAACTATGGATCAGTATCTTTGAAGAATATAAGTACAAATTCCTTTAATAATATGCTTGCAGATTGATTTCAGAAGCACATTGTAAAGGTCATAAACCGTGAGTGGTTGGTAGCATTCCGGGGATGCAAGAGTGGTTCAGCAAATACAAGCTAATAAATGTAATAATACAGCTTATAAACAGAATCAAGAATAAAAACCACATGATCAATAAATATAGAAAAGGGGGACTGGGGATTTAGCTCAGCGGCATAAGCACCTGCCTTGGAAGCAGGCAGTTGTGAGTTCGATCCCCGGTACCGATAAAAAAGGAAAAAGTCAAAAAAAAAAAAAAAATATAGAAAAAACCTTCAGAAAATTTAAGGTCACTTCATAAAAACTGCTTTGAATAAATCAGGTACAGAAGGACAACATCACAACATCATAAAAGCTATATTTGAGAATCCCAAGGCCATCATCAGCCTGAATGGGAAAAACCTGAAAGAAAGATACAAATAAGCATACAAAAATCAGTAGCTTTTCTTGGCACTAATAATGAGCTTGTTATGAAAGAATTCAGGAAATGAATCCTATATACAGTAGCCAAATCAAAAAGAAAATGGATGCGAATTGAGACAATACTCACAAGTGAAATAAACAACACTTGCATGTGTAAATATTGTTTTGTCTCCCTAGTGTAAAAAACTGAAAGAGTAAATAAGATACAAAATGTACAGTAGATACTGTGAAAGGGAAGGGAAAAAACTGCTCAAAAGGGAAGAACAACTGAGACGGGAGAAAGGAGAAAAGAAAGAAGGGAAAAGATTATATGTAAAAATAACATGCACAAGATAGAAAACTATACTACTAATCTATTTGTCAAAAGAACAGTTTGTGCCATCATTGTTTGATTGTTTGGTCACTGTTTTCATGCCTATATCTTTTAAGCTGAACAACTACTTTGAAGATAACAATGCACAATATATTAAAAAATATTAATCCCCTAATATTTTGTTTTGAAATTCTGTATTACAGTTTTTGTTCTTTTTTCTAACCAAAGAGGTAGAAGCCTTCTATAATGAAAATTATAAGCCACTGAAGAAAGAATTGAAGAAAAAATGGAAAATGGAAAGATCTCCCATGTTTATGTTGGGAGAATTAATATTGTTACTATGGCCATAGTACTGCATGTGTACAAGCGGTCTGATGTTCTCTCCATCCAAATGCCAATTAACCATCTTCACAGAATTAGAAAGAATAATCCTAAACTTCGTATGTAAGCACACAACAGTCTGAATTCCAGAAGCAATAATCAGTAACAGAAGCAATGGGAGGCATCAGATTACTTGATTTCCAATTATGCTACAGAGATTTAGTAACTAAAACATCATGGTATTGGCACAAAAACAAACACATAGTGCAATGGAATAGAATAAGTGACTCAAAAATAAACTTTTATTTTTAAAAGCAAAACAGAAAAAAGGATAGAATTAATATAGAATTTCAAAAAGCAGTAAGAAATCAACACTAGTTAATATATTGCATATTGTTATAGTAGAAATAGTTGTTCAGGTTACAAGATCTAGGCTTAAAGATGATCAAACAATCAAACAATGACTGTCATTGCTTGAAAAAATAAACTTTTGTACCTATATCCATCTGATTCTCAAAAAAGGAGCTGGGGATACAGGTTGGTGGAAACATAGCATTTTCAAAACTATTGTGGCAAACCAGACATCCCCAGGTAGAAAGAAGATAGAATCTGGGCCCATATCTCTCTCCTGGTGAAACATCAATTAAAAAATGAATCAAAGATCTTATGCAAGACCTGAAATTCTGAAACTATTGGAAGGAAATCTAGGAGAAAGTTTTCAGTGTATTGACACAGGCAGTGATTTCTCAACCAGGCTACATAGGCAGGAGAATCAAAGCATGAATGGACAAATGAAATTATCTGAAATTAAAAAGCTTCTGGGCAGCACAGGAAATGATGAACAGAGTCAAGTGACAACCTTCTGAATGGAAGAAGATCTTTTCTAGTGATTTATCTAATAGGGAAATAATATCCAGAACATACAAACAACTCAAAAAGCCAACACCAAAATAGTGAGTAATTCAATTAGTAAATGAGCAAATGAGCTGAACAGCAGCTTCTCCAAAAGTAGAGTAAAAGCAGTCAATAAATATATGAAAATACTTGACATGATTAACCATCAAAGACTGTAAATCATAACTTCCATGACAGCCCTGCCATATAGAGTATTATGAGTAAAACACCAAACAGCAACTCTGGATGAAGATGTGGGAAAGAATACTTATACCCTGTTCCTGACAATATGAATTAGTAGTCACTATGAAAATGAAGGTGGAGATTTCTCCAAATACTACTGTACAACTATCATGTGAACAACCTATTCAATTCCTTTGTGTTTATCTGAGTAAAATGAAATTAGCATACAAAAGAAATCTGTATGCACATGCTTATCATGGCACTGTTCACAACAGCTAATATATGGAATTGAATCAAGCTGGGTGCTGGTCAACAGGTGAATGCATAAAGGAATATATATGTAATATATGCATATATATTTATTTTAAATAATAAACTTTGGGTATTATTCAACCATAAAGAATGAGATTCTGTCATTTTCAGGAAAATGCAAGAAACTGGGTGCCATTATGTTAAACAAAATAAGCCAGATACAGATTACAATACATGATTTGTTTCATATTCGAAAACTGAAAAACAATATTGACCTGAACACAGTAGAAGGACTAATACAGGAAACAAAAAGGGATGAGGAAAAGGAACAAGAGAAAGATAAATGAAGGTAGCCCAGAGAATGTTTACATCCACCCTGATTGTGTACATGTCACCATGTCTCAGACCCCCACCAAATCCAACAATTAATGTGTTATTAATTATAACTAAGCAAAGACTTGGAACTGTCTTCCCAATTACAAAAGAAAAAAAGAAATTCCTTTTATTTTTCCCTATATTTTTCATTTTGATGGGATTTTACGTGCTAAATGCAAATCTTAATAACTTGATTCTTATCATTTCCGTGATAATAAAATGGTCATTTAGTACTTTAAAATGGTATAATACTGATTAAAACCAAAACGCTTTCATCTTTCATGAGCCTGGATAACCTTATCTGCTATGTGTAGGATTCCTGTAGGCCATTTGACACTTTATAATAGTTCATAAGTCCATATTAATATCTAAGGGACTCTTAAGAAGTGTTAGGCTCCATTAAGGAAAGCACATGAGCAGACAGCTCTCATGTCTTCTTGATTTAATAATTCTGTGAACCATTCTGGGTAAATTCTCAGTATTTCCTCAATTCTAAACTTTCCTTAGACTTTTGGGCAAGATATAGCCATTCATCGGATGGCAACGAGTCATTGTGTGCAGCTGATATTAATTGCCATGGCCAATAACTTGAAAGAAGTATGGATCTCAGAGAAAGTATTTTTGTTACTGGCATATCTGTGGCAATATATGCCAAGCGTGGCCCTCTCGATGTCCAGGGTGCTAGACAAGCTACTGCGAAAATGACCTCAAAATGCTGCGGTAAGAACAATTTATGTGTTTTTTGCTCATGTCCCAGTCTTGCTGAAAATCCAGTCTTTCATTGCTGGACAAACCTCTACCATCACAGCTGATAAATGCAAAGCAGGTTTCATTTCTATGCCCACCCGTATCTGATGGCTTACTGTAAATTTTTCTTTGCTTTGAGATTTTATAAAATGTTAAATCAAATCTAAATCACCATTTTATGCTACACTATTTCATCAGTACATACGTCGCTGTGCACTTTTCCACTTACTCTGCCCAGCTCTACCCATCCTACCAGGCTCAGCTCAGGCATCACCCTCATGACCCCTGGCTACCCCTGCCACCTCTCTGTAGGGTGGGTGCACCTCACCCTGAACCTGATATCCAAGTGTTGAATGCACGGTTAAGACAGATGCATATGCAAGATGCTATACTCACTGCTCAAGCTCCATTCCCAAATTACTCCGCACACCACATGTGCAGCTGTGTCCATGTCAAATTCAAAAGACTGGTTGCTCCCCTTTCTACAGGCACTAGTGGAGAATGTTATCAACCATTTCTGTGGAAACTGTAAGCATCAAAGAGTTGCTTTCTTTTTTATGTAAACAGCCAGCAAATATAATGAGTTAAGCCCAAAATTGTGGATTATGATTAAGCAACAAAGGTTATTGCTGTGAATGATTTTAAAGTTTTTTATAAAACTTTTTATTACCATCTCTACTAAAGTTAGTCTTTATGGATTGAGATATATAACAGGATGATAAGACAAGAGTATATTATACATACCATTGTAGAATTTCTCTTTTCCAGCCAATCACATGTGTCTCACGACTTGTGAGGCAATTAATTTGCTTCAACTATTTGCAAGACAATGAAAATGAGTACAGTGAAAAACCCACAAACTAGAACACAATGAAATTCAAAAGCTGTTTAATGCCTTTGTGATACACTGAAATATCCAGAACTGGATAAGTCAGTAAGGAGTTTTTCCTTGTGTTACATCGTGTGTGGTGGGACTTGGTAGAGTGAGATGGTTCTGCATGTGGAACTTTAGCACATATTACCCCTGAGTTTAAGGTTGGAGGACAGCGGCGAGCAAGGAGCAAAAACACATCTTAGCAGAGAGGAAACACAGCGTCCTAGTCATGAGCACGGATCCTGTATTCAGGCTACCTGGCTTCAGCTCTCACCTAACCCCATATTTGCTCCATGCCAAAATACATTTCCTTAACTCTGTTTGCCATTCACAAAGTGGAAGTTACAGTAGTTAACTATTGTCACTGTGCTATGCATTGCATTAGAATTAGGATAACAAAAGATATTCATCCTGTAACTGAAACTTTGTGGCCTTTGATCAACATTTACTCATTTTTTCTGTGTTCTCCCTGGAAATCACCATTCTGAATCCAGATTCACAAGGGGTATGTTTTCAAAATCTACACATGAGATCACACAATCTATTTTTGTGAATTGCTTATTTCACTTTACATAACGTATTCAAGGTTCATACCTGTTGTCACAAATGGCAGGATTCCTTTTTGAGGACTGAAGTCTACTCTGCTGGATCTGAATAAGCAACGTTTCTTTACTCACACTTTGTTTTTGTATCTTGGCTCTTGTGTATAATGGTGAAATCAACGTTAAGAGTGAAAATATTTCTTCAGGAGACTGAGTTTATTTCCTTTGGCAAATACCCCAGTCGAGTGTAAATGTGGTTATGTGATTTCTCCTTCCAAAAGTTGGTCCCCATTGGGGCAGTATTGAAAAGTGGTGAACCTTCAAGAGGTTCACCTTCAAGAGGGTGAGTGTAAGTTTATTTAGCCTTGGGGACACTACACGTGGTCGGAATTAATGCACTTCTCACAGGACCCTCGTTTGTTCTTGAGAGTGGCTTGTCATCAGGCCAGGCCTCTCCATGTATCTTCCTGCTTCTGACCCTGTCTGGCTCCTCTTCCATTTCTCTGCTATGTTGAGACCCAACCAAGGGAGACTCAGCAGAATTTGAACAGATATCTTGGCCTTTCAGCTTCCAAAACTGTGAGCTAAAGTTGTTTTTCTTTGTGTAGTATCCAGTCTGATATTTTGTTTACAGAAAGTAAACTAATATCCCTAAAGGGAAATGCCTAAATCTCACATAGCAATTTCAATTTTAAAACTCCCCATACAGCTTTTCACAATGTTGATACCAATATACATTCTCAATGACTTAAGTAATAGGGTAAAGACAGAGTATATTATAGCAATATTTTTGTCAAAGCAGAGAGAAGAACTAGAGTTTCAGTCCTATGATAGTTGTTGTCTTTTCAGAAATGTTGATGACTATGTTACAGTAATATCTAAACATCACTCAAGTAAATCTAGCAGTTTGTTACACACAGAACTTCCTAAAGGACAATGACCTTTTGTGTCTACTCCCACCGTTAATATTTTGCTTATTATATGGTTGCATTGCTTTATCTCTCTTCTTTGTGATAAACTGGTCATTCTTTCTTGTTCTAGTAGCATTTTGCAAATGTATTCCCTCATTCTTTATACAACATCATAGGAAACAGCCACACCGAATCTTTTGATGTTATTGTTACTGTTTCCTTCATTCTTAGTGTACAGTCTTAGAAGAGATAAATGCATATCTTCCCAAATAAAAGTCACATGTTGGGGATTGTTACATTGCCTTTGTTTTGTTTTACATGATATGCTAAAATTTCCTGAATAACTCTAGAGTTACTCCCAAGTATTTCAATTACAAGTTCTTTGTTTTCATTAGGGCAAGTAAGCGGTGACCTGCTGATCAAGAAGAACGATGTGAACTCTGCACTTCAGATATGGCCTGAGCAGATACTATCCATAGTGGTTATATAACACAGAAACAGTGATGCTAAGCCCTATAAAGATATTTTGGTGTAGATCCTGAAATTAGGACGTTCTGACTTTTAAATTCAAATTTAATCATTTGCCTAAGTTTTATAAGGATTCTTAATGTCAGACCTCCACCTGGACAGAAGAAAAAATTCGACAAGCAGAGCTGCTGACCACAGCTGTAGAGACACAGAGCTTGCAGAGGGAAATAAACCAACAACCACCGTAGACAGCCGCACTAGCGAGATATGGACGTCAGCCAGACTCCCAACTCTGCAGACCTCGACCTGGAATTTCCCATTCCTCCCCGCTATCCCTCCTCCCTATCCAACACCAGTCATTTTGCTGAGCTTGTCTTGCCTGCAGCCAGGCTCCAATAAACTTTGCTTGCTGCTTCAACTTCATGTAACTTGGTGGTCCTGATCATGCCGCAGTTTACTCTACATTTTATTAGTTACTCATGATAGGAGTCCTCCAAACAAAAGCTGTGTTGATTGTGTTAACAGCTCAGATTGTGGCGGATTGTGGCTTAGTTTTACACTGATGCAAAAAACAAGTCACTGTAACAGGATTCAAATTCTTCTTATATTAAGACATACAAGAAAAAATCAGGACTGAAAGGGTCACTTGCAGTTTGGAAGACACTGCAGAGAGAAATGGAAACCCATAGTCACATCACTTATCTTTCATACAGGAAACTAATTGAAAGCTAATTTTACTTTTTTGACATAAATTTCCTTTTGTTATTTTAATTGATGTGTGTGTGTGTGCGTATGTGTGCGTGTGCGTATGTGTGTGTTTATAGTACTGGGAACTGAACTCAAGTCCTTGAGCTTGCCAGGCAATGCTTGTGCTGCTGAGCTATATCTCCAGCTCATAAATTTCCTTTTAATGTATAAAAAATTATAGGTAAATTTTTCCATGAATCTTTTTTAAAAGACACTAACATATACTCTAGATACATACACACACACACACACACACACACACACACATATATTTCATTTTGTTTAGTTTAGTTTTTTGTTCTTTGAGACAGAATCTCACTGTGCAGCTCTAGCTGACCTTAAACTCACTTTGTAGCTTAGGCTAGCCTTGAACTCATTCATGGCAATCTTCCTGCCTCAGCCTGCAGAGTGCTGGACTCACAGACGTGTACCCCAACACCTGGCTACTATATCTCAAACAAAAGAAAATTTTAAAATACCTAAACACATATGTTTAAAGCCTAGATTATCAGAAATCTGCCAAGGAATTACAGTAACCTGTTTAAAACATTCCATAGTTCATTCATCCTCCTATAGCAAAACACCAGCAATTGGATGATCTGCAGCCCGGGGTGGTTCGTTTCTCTCACTTCTGTGGCCTGGGAAGCACAGGGCACTGGCAGCAGTGAGGGCTGATCTCTGCCTTGCAGTGGTCCTTACCGCTGTTTTCTCCAGTGGGAAGAGACACTGTCCTTGTAGGATGAAATGGATGGAAGGACATAAAGGGGAACCTCTTCCTTAAGCCCTTTTGCAAGGACACCTAATCCCACATGACTTTGTCACCTCCAAAGCCCATTCTTCTTACTACTGTTACATGGAGGATTAAGTTTCAGCCTGAATTTGGGGAGAACCAAAACTTTCGAACTGTAGTCACATAATGGTCTGGGATATTTCACATGGGACAGAGCACCAAGTCACAAGAAGATATTGTTGGGGGCACAGTTATAGTGTAAGGACACACATATAGAAAGCAACCAATAGTTATTTCATAGTAAAAGGCAGTAATCAGTTGACGGCCTGTGACCGAGCTCCGGCTGCTTGTCAGTCAGTAGCCAGCCTGCTAACTTCAGGTAGCCCGAGTGTCTGCATCCTGAGTCGACTTGGCTGTGTTACTTGTTTCCAGGACTTCAGGTCCAGAATGGACTGGCCTAGTGAAGGGCATATTTAACTCTGCTTTTCTTTCCCTGCAAGAAACGCCCTCCCCTCTTCCCAGAATGTTCCTATATTATGATAAACAATTCCTTTTAAGTAAATCTATTTAGAATGTAATAAACTGCTGTCAAATTTGTAATTCCTGCTCACAAAATATGTATCAGTTTCTGTCTTATTCTCAGTCACTGCTAGAGATTTAGACTTGTTCCCACTAACCCACTAGCTATAACCCCACCCCAC